TATTACGATATTAAAGACTTTCGTCGTCTGATATCGAAAACAGAATAGAACGTATGTGTGTGAATGTGTTAAAAGAGTGTATCCACAATATATAACACACAGGATAAGCAAGTAGTAGTAGTAAGCACGATCGATTTTTACTATCGCGGAAGATCCTTATATTTCCCATAAAAAAAAAATGAAAAAAAAGAATATAATAAAGACAGAAAGAGAAAAATAAGAGAAGAGAAGAGAAGAGAAAAAAATAAAAAAGATATAGTAGTAGTAGTAGTAGTAGTAGCATCGTCTTTTCTAACCGATCTCTATCAAGCAATAACCGAGTAGAAAAGGCGGATCGATTTGCCGACTCTCTTTCACCATCGTCGTTGATACGACATCGCGTTATTACATCAAGTTCGTTAGGCGAGTCGTGCATAATTAAGCGACCACCACCACCACCACCACCACCAACCAACAACCACAAACTCACCACCTAACCACCCACCCCCAACGGTCATCCTAACCTGTTCTTTCTCTCTCTCTCTCATTTTCTCTTTTCAACTTGCATGCTCCGAATGATAGGCGCGAACTCGCGAGTATTCGCGGCCGCGTTTACTCGAACGTGTAGCACTGACTAACACAAGCATACACCCACACGTTGCTTGTCGCAGATACGATTCTCTACCTCTCCTATCATTAAAATCGGCCACCAAGTGAACGCTTCGGTCGGTAAATATTTAAGTCGGTCGGTAAGGGGCTGGTAATGAGAGTCGGAATGGATCGATATGCTTGCTGCTTCCTTCCTATAAATATATTTATATATAAATATATATGTATTTATGTATATGTAAGTGTGTATATGATGAGCAAGGCTTCGGTCACTGACACGAATTCGACAGGATTCATCTGGACCCATTCACTGATTTATTTTTCTATACGTGATTTTTGTTCTAACTGTATTGTTTTAGATAAATATTATTTATATTAATCTTAGGTTTATGCACAATTTTGTTGATTTAAAGACGATTATCTAAAGGAATCTTTTTAACTTACTTTGATTATATTTAACAAGCATATTTCACCTTAGTACAAATCGATTGGAAAAAAACAAACGTGCCTAAGGTATTGTTTTTTACTACTACCATCAATTTATTTCGGAAAGCTCGTGTTCTTATTTCTATAAAAAAAAAAAAAAGAAATAAAAAAGCTCGTCTATTTCTCTAAAAAAAGCGGTGCTAGTATGGATGAACAAAAGTAGTCGTTCAATTTTCTCTACTATTTTTCTCTCTTATCGTTTTTTTTTTGTTCTTTCTTCCTTCATTTCTTTTGCCTTGACTCAACAAAGTTATGGTGATCGAATCCTAGACGGCAATTACTATAATTGTATTTTTCTTCGCGCAAGTGAGTAGATAGGTGCGATGACAGGAACGAAGTGGCGGAACAGTGCGACAACAATATTCAATAGTCCTCGTGGACTCTACCATTCTTTCTTCTGTCATGTGAAAGATAATAATTGTAATGGTATATCCGATAATGCGATGATCGCCGATACGCTGAATTAAAAAAGAGAGACGGTAGATAAACTAAATAGATAGATTGAGATGAGAAAGAATTTATAATATAACTGATATCGATTTCTCATTCGATCTAATTATAAGTATATCCAATAAACGTGTTCTGATAATTGTAACACTGTTACTGAATCCCTAAACACATTTACAAATTATTTATTTTCTTATTTATTTTATATTTTATATTAAATCAATTTTTTCATTATATTTAAGAATATCCAATAAAGGTGTCCTGATAATTGTAACACTGTCACTGAACCCCTAAACACATTTGCAAATTATTTATTTTCTTATTTATTTTATATTTTATATTAAATCAATTTTTTCATTATATTTAAGAATATCCAATAAAGGTGTTTCTATAATTTTGTGACATTTATATATTTTATTATTTATTTTATATTTTATATTATATTAAATATCAATTTTTTGTCATTATATTTAAGATGTTCCTATAATTGTGACATTTAAATTAAATTGAAAAATTATGGAATTAAAAAAGATATTATTTTATAATATATATAATAATAAAATCTAATATTTAGATATTTATTTGATATTACGTTTTATTTAATATTACAATTATATTAATTTTTTTTATGAAAAAAAAAGTAAACCTTTTATCAATGTTATCGAACGAACAACGACAATAAATAAAAAGAAATAATATTAGACGACACGATAGACGAAAAGATAAAATGGTATGGGTAAAATAAATTAGTTGATAAAAAAGAAAATTCCCTTATGTGTAAAACGAAACGAAACGGAACGATGACCGAAGTAAAGGTTGAAATTTATGACAAAAATCGAGAATCGTCTTGATATCAGAAACAAGTAACTTATCGTAACAGACAATCGTGAAATACAACGAGCACGTCACCTCACTAGGTGTACACACTCAGATAGTTTATAAGTTTATTTTCTCTCTTATGTGTGTGTCTTGTAACGGCTTGGTTGGAATACTATATATATATATATATATAGTTCTAGCAAACGTTTTAGTATACTTTTCACTCCCCGAGCAAGGGTCTACCGTTCTCCAGAGAATATTATTCGCCGATATCGCTCGTTATACGGCACGTAACTTAGGCCAATTTACCAGGAAAAATTGACTTCCCTTCTCCTATGTGTATGTGTATTGTTGTACATATAATACTTATGCTTGATATCGAAGAAAGTGTATTCTATCATATCTATCCTACATGTACACATACATACATTCTATCTAAAATACATTTCTATTGTCTTTCTTTCTCTTCTTAAACATAAATGTGATAAAAATTTGTACTGAAAGTGCAAGCATTTTCTAACTATCGGTACGTTGCCAGGGGGGGGGGTGTAGGTTAAGGGGGGTGTTCTTTGCTATAGGGTTTACTGTTTAGTGATGGTGGATGTTGAGGGCAAACCTGAAGTGGTGAGAAAATTAATTCCTTTTCGATAGAATCTTAACGGCGACGCCTTTCGAGGACGATGTAACACTACTACCACATACATACACATACACATATAGAACACCGACAATGTCCTTCTCCAACTCCGAGGATACACGCGTTTTTATCGTCGCTTTATAATCGCAAAATTGTTTGCTCGGAATTTCGATGGCGACGTAACGGAGGAACAGCTGTTTACCTTTATTATCGCAACCCCACGATCGACGTTAGACGTCCGACCGAAGGACTTTTAGAAAAAGCCTTTTGCGAGTTGTCTCTGTTCGACCCTCTTCTTTATTTCTTTCTTTCTTTCTTCCTTTCTTTCAGTTTTATTGTCATTAGCTTATGCGACCAGTCGTCTAGTAAGTTTTCATTTTTATTTTTACATATATGTATGTATAGTATTTTATATGTGAATGTGCGTCAAGATTGGTAAAAATGATTGTGAGTAACCTAGTAGTTAGAAAGTATTCTTTTTAATATCATCCTATCGTTTATTGTGTTTAGTTGGCTAGTTCCTTCCTGGCTATCGATGTTCATAGAAATACCTAGGATATTTATAGGGGGAAAAAACTAAGCTATTGGCTTATACGATCACTCGATCGTTCCTTTCTATTTTTTATGTATGAACTTAGAAGTGTACGATCAGGGTTGTTTCTTTCTTTTTGTTCTTCTTTTTTTTTTGTTCTTCTTTCGTTTTGTTCTTCTTTCTTCCTTTTCATCAAATTATATCGATCGACTTGAAATAACCTAGTTGTTTCCCTAAGGAATTCCTCGATTCCTATCTTTACGGATAATATTGTCATCGATGTTTATTCGTATGCGAAGGTTTTTTGTTTTCTTTTTTGTTGTCAGCTAGGTGCATCCCTTAATTTTCTTCAAGAACGCACCGACAAATATTTTTGATAAATTATTTTTAAGCTTAGAGTATTATCGATAGATTTATTTGAAACCTATTTTTAGGATATCAATCAAATTGATTTTGATTATTGATACAATGATGTTTGAAGAAAATTGTTCATATTAGGTAGATATGTAAATATTATTTAAAATACGTATGCATAAAATGTTATAATATGAATTTATATTCGTGTCAACAAAGAGAAGAAAAATTTAACGATAATACATGATAATCGTGATTTTATGTTTGATCAGTAATTTTGTGACACTGCAAAATAAAATGTTGTCCGTGTTTTGTTATTGAATTGGAAAAAATGAAATTACGTTTTAACGTGTGGTAGACCTCGTCGTTATTGCAAGAATTATTATGCTATACGTAATTATGTTCTTTCAATTTATCTGCATTGATACTCATCCAAGTGTTCCCCTTTTACGTATCGTTGCACTTCTTATTCGATTTGAAAAGAAGAAGAAGAAGAATAAATTAAAAATATAAATCGAATTTGTTCGCGACAGTTTTGAAAGTGAATCAACATGTAGATAATAATCGGCAGGTCGTTGTACTTTACTCATCTACAATGGAATCTTTCGATTTCAGTATCGATATCCACTTATATATCGAGGGAAAAACCGTCTTCGTTTCTCGGCAAGATCATTTTAAACAAATTATCATTTTTTACTCATCGGTATTGACGCAAAGCTACATCCTATGAGTTGCGCCATCGAAACGCGTCCAACCGTACGATTTATTAGTTGATACAGCTGCGTTTGATTAACCTTGCTTCATTATTCCAAACCATATCCCGTCTTTTCTGTTGATAATCGAATTTATGATCGGCAACCGATGCGCATGATATAAACTATGCAATTCCGATTCCCAATCGTGCGATTCCCTTTCAAGATAATCTTTTAGATTAGTCATTAAAAAAAAAAAAAATAACACATCGTGATATCAATTAATATTAACATCAAATTAATAGTATAAAAACAGAGTCATAAAATAAAATGCATTGACAAATTTTTTTGATTAGTAGAATTATATTTCTAAATGAATTATATTAAATAAATAATAATTTATATTAAGATAAATTTTAACGATATCATTAAATATATGTTCTAGGTGAGAAACCACACAAATGCGTGGTATGCGGTAAAGCATTTTCACAAAGTAGCAATCTGATAACTCATATGCGTAAGCACACGGGTTACAAGCCATTCCAATGTGGTCTATGTGACAAGGCATTTCAAAGGAAGGTGGATTTAAGAAGGCATAGGGAAGGTCAACATCCAGCGGCGCCTGCGTTAGATTATCGTTCGCTTCAGGTTGCATCGTCTGGTGTCGGTGAACAAAGTGCCGTTCAACGAAACAACACCGGCCAAGTTCGGTGCACGCCATCACCACCACCACAACAACAAGCATCACCACCATTACCACTACCACTACCACAGACAACGTCACAAGGAGTGGTACAACAACAACAACAACTATCACCAGCACAGGTACACTCCGGTACCACTGCCAACGGCATCAACTGCAACAGTAACAGCAACAGCAGCAGCAACAGCAGCAGCAGCAACAGTAACACAGCCCCGTACAGAACGATACCGGTTCCGGGTAGCAGCAACAGCAGCTGAGATTCGTCTCACCCAAAGCCCTTTCCTTATTCTTGCAGGTGTACACAACGATTCCATGGGATCACCGAGCGCATGCCAAGCGTCTCCCTCTAATTCAAACCCCACACTTATTTACTTATTTGCTACTATTACTATTACTATTAATTATTATTACTGTTATTCTCACACCTTTACAATATTTACCTTGTAAATAGTTCACGATCCAATTGCTACTTGCTAAATGAGATATTAGTACTATTGATTATGCAATTATTTTAATCTCGTTTAATTCTTTTTTTATTTAAATTCATTTAGATCATTGGAATGTTCTAATGACATTTATTTATTTTAATTGTGCTATTGTCAATAACTTAGCAGACAGTTTGTTAATTTCTAATGGAAAAGTGGTTCTATTTTCTTCTTTCAAATCTTAAAGAATTAAAATAAATTAAACGAGATTATAATTTTTGCATATATCTAATAATTATTTAAAAGATAAAAAAATAATGTCCATTCATTCGTCCATTCATTATCGTGTACAATTAGGATATATTATAGATATACATATTACGACGATGTTTTTTAGATGCTTCGATGGTGGAGATAGATTTTTCAATATTTCCAACGTAGGTGAGTAACGTTATATATCAAATTTATGAAATATTTCTTAACAACAAATTCAAATAAAGAGAGAGAGAGAGAGAGAGAGAGAGAGAGAGAAAGAGAAAGATATATGTATAAATTGAATTAATAATTCTTTAAATGAATGAAAATACAAATATTTCTTGATGTATGAAATAGTAGTTCGACAAAACACGAAACATAAATTAGAAAAAGTGCCATTATATTAAAAAGTATACTTAATGGATCATTTGTTTCTTCCAACACTTGTTTCGTATCGATTGAACCATTAACGTTGATTGTTTTCATATCTTTTTCCTTATATAAATATTCCTTTTATTTCGTACGTCACAATTATGTAACAAATACAAACGTAAAATGTGAAAAGGAAGGAAGGAAGGAAGGATAGAAAGAAAAAGAATAAACAATTTTAGCAAGAATATACATTATAGCAAAAAAGAAAAAAAAGAAAATGAAAGGACGACAATGAAATCATAAAAGCAGATTCGCGTGTGTAACCGGACGTATGAACAGGTTAGATCAAGTTTCAAATAACACGCGAATATTGTGTTATTCTTTAAGACACTGCGTTTGATTTTGAATAGGGTGTCCACCACCTATCACGTGTGTGTACTCCTATTCCTGTTTTTTAGTTTGTTTTTTTCTTCTTTTTATCTTGCGTTGGTTTCTATCAAAGCAAACTCATCGAATGAAACTAACACACGCGATTGTAAAAAATGAGCTTTTGTTTATCTCTCTCTCTCTTTTTCTCTCTCTTTCTTTCTCTCTCTCTCTCTCTCTCTCTCTCTCTCTTTTGAATTTAATTATTGCATACAATAATAAGAAAAAAAAAGAAAGCTTAAATGTTGCACTTATGTTAGTTTCACTTAATTCGTATCAATGACAAAATTTATATTATTAAATAATATATTAAACAATGTTAATAAATTATTATTATTAGAAGAAAAAAAAAATAAAAAAAAAATAAAAAAGTGCTGCGTTTATCGATAATCGCGGTGTTAAGGTTAATGAAATTTTTATGCATCTAATTGTATAGGACGATAATTTGGGTGTGTCGTCTTTTAAAAAATATTATCTATCGAAATATTATATATACATACATACATATATATATATATATATATATATATATATATATATATATATATATATATAACATGTAGAGAGAGAAGGTTTGAATAGTATACAAATTTATATAGAATTATTTGTATAAACAAAAATTATATTCTATAAACATTTAACAATGATTAATTATTAATTCATAAATTATAAAATATCACGAACCGTCCAATAGTTTTGTTGATGAATTTCTATACGTTTTTTGTGCGTATGTATGTATGTATGTATGTGTGTGGATGAATGCACGTGCTAATATATACATATAAAAAAATAATACTTAAATAAAAATTTATTATTCAAGTACGATAAATATTTTGAAGATGGTGGCATCAAAAAAGGTCCAATGTATTCGACAAAATTAATGCAAATTTTGGAATAATTATTATAAACAATTTCTTGTGGATATTATCATGTTGCCATTACACATAACAGAATTATTTATTTGCTATTAATTATTTATAAATAATTAATACTACTTAGACGCATATGGATAATTTCCAAATGGAACGTTTCACGATATATCAACTAAATTACAAATATTATTTGTTATTATTATTATGGCTTTATCTCATCAGGTAATTTTTATTCTTGCAGAAAGAAAAAAACAAAAATTTGGACAAATTAATGGAAACATTTCGTTTCCCAATGTTTTACAATTAGATACTTTTTTTTTAAAAACATTTTTTTTTATTAGAATACTTTTTTTCTTCTTATTTCTTAATTAATAATTAATTCAAAATTAATTATTATTAATATTTATTTAAAGTAGAACGCTCTTAATCTATTAAAAACTATCATAGTCTATCAAAGCCAAAGTTGTAAAGTTAGAAGAGAATGTTTTTTTTTTCTATCGCACGATAATAAAAAAAAAAAAGAAAAAAAAAGAAAAAAAAATAACGATAATAAATAGAACTATTTACGCGTCGTGTATAATTTATTAATTTTTTTCTTGTATCCACATTTTTCAATATAATATAATACGCATCTATACAATGTATCTAAATGTGAATGGTACACACTCGAAAATTTATATTATTATTTTCTATAAATAATTTTCAATATTGTTCTTTTCAACTAAAGTAGAGCATAGATTATACGAAATAAATTTTAGGAACAAGTTCAATATGATAATTGGTTTGAAAGAATTAAATTATATTAATTATGTCATAAATCGATTTAAGCATTAGGCAATTTAAAAAAAATTAAATTTAATGATTTATTTAAACAAATATATATATAGATAATTGTATGACAAAAATAAATTGCATATATTGATTATATTTATAAAATTTATTATGTATTTGAAGTTGCTCATAATAAAAATACTGTTGCATATATAATTAAAGTATATTCAATACAATATTATATATATATATGTGAATTATTAAATATTTGATTAATTAATTTTAAAATAATTAACACATCCAGATAATCTATGCTCTACTGTACATATATTATATATACATAAACATATATATATATATATATATATAATAAATAAATTTATATATGTACATTCTTTGTGAATGATTCTTTAAATGATCAATTGTAAAATATATATATATATATATATATATATATATCTTAAAAAAGGAAAAAAAAGTACTAGATAACAGGAAATGTATGCAAAATGTTTCACATATTGAAATCCGATGTGTAAAAACAAAAAAAAAGAAAATCATAGCGGCTAGAGGACCAAAGATAGTATAAAAATGGACCCGGCTGATTGGTAATCTTCGGGTTTTTATCAATTCAATGACATACAAAGAAAAATGTATAAAAAAAAAACAATTTTGACGATAAGAAAACATTTGGAATAAATTATTGTACTATTAAAAACCCGAAACAAAAATCAAAGCCTTAGGTCCTTCTTAAGCGCTAGTAATTAATTAGTATATTTAAATTAAGAATTATTTACTCGTGCGCGTATGTTTGTTAGTGTGAATGCTTGATGTATGAACGAATTTATGGATAATAGTTTTATTTATACAGTATCATCATCATTGGCTTCGAAATTTCTTCTTTTATTTGTTCTCCAAAAGTTCATTAATAATGTTTGTTTTATTTTTTTTTATTTTTGTGTTTTATTTCAACGACTATTCGATACACGAATTTAATAATAATACATTGTCAACGTTAGTTAGTTGCGAATAATAATTTGTATAGTTTACTTTGTAAGATGATATTATTATATAAGATTAAAAAAAAAAAATCAAACCAATAGATAATTAAGTATAACCTATCGTTCTATCGAATCTAGATTGATTATGCGAATGCATGCCACTCGTATGTATGTTAAAAGAATGGGAACAAGTATGGGGTTTTAAAAAGGATAAAAAAGAGAGAGAAAAAGATAATAGATGGGATAGATAAGTAAATTTTAGCGATTATGCGAGGAGAGAAAAGAATAAGTGCAAGTACGAATGATTCAATTTGCATTAGTTGATAAACCAAAAATATGTTTATTATTGCTATCAAAGAAGATATTGATTGAATAAAATGTTTTTCTTATAACCTTTCCTCGTATTTTTATTTCTTACACTTTTTATTATTTATTACACTTATACTTATTACATATTTTTATTATTATCATTTATTTTTATTATCGATCTTTTTAAATATGACACGTATATTGGGTTGAGTAAACTTTGGTTGAATGTTGATTTTAAAAATACGAATAAAATTTGTTTAAATTTTACATTAAAATATATTATATATATTATATATAATAAAATTATATGAAATATTTCAATATATAATTATATTAATATAATTAATAATTTACATATATTTAAATTTTTATTATTTAAATTATTATATATAATATTAATATAATTTAATTTAATAATATATATATATATAATTAATAATATATTAATAATATATAAAATAATTAAATAAATATAATAAATATTATATATAATTATATATTGTGAGTGATATAATTATAAATTATAATTATTATATAATATAATAATAATTGTATAATATAATAATATATCGATATTATTATAAATTTTAATTACTATATATTATATATAATAATATATACTATTATATATAATTATATATTTATATAATTATANATATAATTATATATTATAATATATAATTATATTATATAAATATACTATATAAATATAATATATATAAATTAAATATATATTATAATAAATATTATATATTATATATAAATATATAATATAATGAAATTCGCGCGTACATAATAATATGCATATTTTAAAAATTTTTTTTATTAAATCTTCAAATTAACATGTAAAAGAAAGTAGTATACTTTCACAATTTTTATTTTTTTTTTATTTTGTTTTTATAGAATGTATTAAAGAAGTATATAACAGTTTATATTTCGAAGATTGTACATTTTATTAAAGAACACAGTAATCTCTTCTCGATAGCGGTTCTTATTCGAGATTTTGATAACCATAAATGGCGATTGCTGCAATTGATCCCAAATTGGGGCTGATTGTAAAAAGAAGAATGTAATTTAAATAGGTAAATGGAACGAAAAACCAGATGCATTTAAGAAACGGTAAATGTGTGAATTAT